GTCCTTGATGTCCTTCTGCACCTCCCATTTAGTATTTCCTTGGCAAAATGGACATGCAGTAGGGGGATAGTTTCTGTCCCACTGGGAAAAGTGACCAGAATCCACACCCTCTCCCTTTTCGGGGGGTGTAGACAAGCCCTTAGTGAACCACAAGCCTCCTAGCTTGTAACAAAGTGGGAGTGATTAACTGCGACAACTGAATATTCACTCTGAACTCAGATGTTAAATGTTGTACCCCCTTGTGTTAGGGGGCTGCTGAAGGTAGGGAAAGTTGGATCTTGACCTTTCTGTGAAAAGTCACTAAATAGTCAGTGACCTAACAAGTTATAAATGCTCTTAGTTTTCACTGGCAAGATAGCCATGATAAATATAAGGCCTTTTCTCTGGGGACCTGAGGACATAAGCCTTATGGGACAGATTTTAGTCCAGAAAACTGTTGAGAAGAGTAAATGAAACATAGACAATGCTAGCAATACATAAGTCTACCCGAAGGCAAGTTGGTCCTCAGCTAGTAGCCATAGGTACAAGGATCTTTGGTCTAAGGACATAGGCAGACATGGTTCTTAAGTACAATTAGGTCCTTAAATCATAGGTGATACCCATGGTGGCTAATTATGGGCAAATACGCAGGAAGGTGGAACATGATTTCTGTACTCAGCTGGGTCCCAGGAAGACCGGAGTGGAATGGTGGTAATGTTTGTACCCAGGGCCTAAGGTTTTTTTCACAAGGAGTGGGTAATTCATAGATGTTAGGGTCGGAAAGGACCTCAGCAGGTCATCAAATCCAACCCCCTGCCCTGGGCAGGAAAGAGCACTGGGGTCAGATGACCCCAGCCAGGTGCTTATCAAATCTCCTCTTGAAGACCCCCAGGGTAGGGGAGAGCACCACCTCCCTTGGAAGCCCAATCCAGATTCGGGCAACCCTGACTGTGAAGAAGTTCTTTCTAATGTCCAGTCTAAATTTGCTCTCCATCACTTTGTGGCCATTGTTCTTACTTACTCCTGGGGGTGCCCTAGTAAATAGAGCATCTCCTATTCCCTGCTGCCCTCCCCTGGTGAATTTATAGGCAGCCACAAGATCACCTCTCAGTAATAGGGCAGCTTTACTTTCTAAATGCGTATTAAACAAAGGCTTGTTTCCTCCAATTATGCCAAGGTCACGGAAATATAGTGGTAAGCCTGATGCAGATTCAAACCTCCTTCCATTCTGGGGATCTTCAAACATGGGCTTTATTTCAGGCTAATAGCTAGAGAGAACAATAAGGACCTGCATGGGAGAGAGGCAGGACAGTCTTATGCTTATGGCATTAGATAGGGATTTTGAATCCTTGGGTTCAACTCCTAACTTTCAGGAAGCTTCCTGTATGACCTTGACCATATCACTAAATCTCTGTGTCTCCATTTCCTATCTGCAAAATGGGAATAAAAGCACTGCCCTCTCACACAGTGGGGAGGGTTTGTGAGGTATGGCGAGGATGTGACCGGGTAGGTATCTAAACAGACGTGTTTGCTAGGGTAAGTTTTGGACTGGGCGGACACAGGGGAGGACAGTAAAGAACCCAGTGGAGGTTGGCAAAGAATTTTTCATTTACTTGTAAGAAATGTCCTGCTGTGGCTAAACTGGTATAATCAGGAACATGGATGTGTTCTTGCTCATGGGACTTCAGGTCCCCAACTGACTGAGTTCTCAGCCAGTGTCTCTGACGGTTACCTGACGGACCCACATCCTGACCTGCGTGCCTATATAGTGAGATCACAGTCCCTAGGTAACTACCAAATGACAACTTCTGTGTTTAGCAGCGCATGCAGACCATTACCAGGTAGTTAATTTATGAGAAATGAGTATGAATGAGTCTCACTGGGAAAGTATGAACACCCGAACAATTTCCCACTGAGTAAAAGGGACAGGGCTTTACCATGCATCTGCTGTTCCCACTACTTGCCCATGCATACACTCTTACTCGGCAGCAAGTGGTACCTAAGCCATGGTAAATTAGTCCTCAGTGAAAAAGTTTCCTTTTGTCTTAAAAATCTGCAAGTAGTTTAGATGCTACCTGAGATAAGTCAGCCAGCAATTCTGGGGAAATGCTGTTAACCTTTGTTAGCCTAAATGACACTTGTCCAGCCATGTGAGAAGAATTTTTAGCACTTACACAGTTTGAGATTTCATTACCCATACAGTGGGCTTGTCTACAAGCATATCTGACCCCAGCACTCTTTCCTGCCTAGCAGGGGGTCAGACTCAATGATTTGTTGAGGTCCCTTCTGACCCTAGCATCCATGAATTTACTGTGCAGTAGTGTATTAGCATGGTTTCTGCCCAGCACGCTATGGCGCAGTGTTATGGTTACTATGCATTGTCTTGTGTAGATGTGCCCAGTATGGAGGTGTAAGTGTCCTTACAGCTACTGGACATGCTCAGTAGGCCACACGCAGGCATCTACCTTCATTCGTGTCACAGAGAGGAAAGCCTTCCTGTGTTTTAGCACCAATAGCTGAAAGTCAGGGCACTCACCCAGGTAGTAGGAGACCTGGGAGTTTTAACATGCATCTCTCTAACACGCCTGTGCAGTGCTCCAATCAGTACACCATAGGTCAGGCATTACCCAGGCCCTTCTCCAACCATCCTTCTGCTCCCCTGTCAATTCAAGGACAGGTGAAAAGATCAGAAGAGGGGAGGAGCAGTAGTGGCACTCAGTCCCTGGCCCTGGAACTGCATAAAAGCGGCCAGATGCATGCAGCTGGCTGGCGGGCTCTGATCTCACTGGCATCCAGGATCTCTCTGAGGCGGATGTGCCATGCTCCCTTCAGCTGTGTAATGCATGTGCAATGAGCTCTCCTCACCATGCATATACCATACCGCTGAAGAGCATGCAATCACACACTCCTTTCTGCAATTCTGGCTTTACCCATGGCAAATCACAGTGGAAGTTACAGCGAATTAAGCTGAATATGAGCCAGCAGCGTGCTTGTTTTGTTTTGTTTTTTGCAACAAAAGGCCAATAGCACATGGGGCTGTAAAATTGGAGCATCACTTGCAAATCAAGGGAAGTGATTCTTGTACTCTATTAAGCACTCACTGGTGAGGTCTTAGCTGGAGTACCACATTGAATTTTGGACTTTCCACTTCAGAAAAAGTGCAGACGAATTAGGATCCAGTGGAGAGTGCTAAAGGTGACTAGAGACCTGGGATTCATGACTTAGGAGGAAAGGATGAAAGAGCTAGTATTATTTAGTAGGGAGTAGAAAAGAAGGAAGGGACTATTTGATAACAGCACCTTTGATAATAGCCTAAAGGGTAACCACCATATGGAGGCTGAAGATAGACTAGTCTGTGGCCTCAGAGTATGGGACAAGGAGCAATAGCAACTGTGTGATGGGAAATTTAGGTTGAGTATTTAAGTTCTCACCATCCGAGTGATAAAGCACTAGAACAGGCTGTGGGAGGTTGTGGAGGTTTTTAAGAACACGTTAGACAGCCATTGGACAGAACGGTTTAGTCAGAAATGATTCTTTCTTGAGCAGGGGATTGGACTACATGACTTCCTGATGTCCCTTCCAGCTCTAGTATTCTGTGATTCTTCCACAGGTCACTCCTCACTATCAAGCATGCCTTTTTGTACCTTCAGCAGGCCCACAGCAGTCCATTCTCTCCCAGGAGGCAGGTAAGGATAGTACTTTGCAGGTATGCAGTACTTTCTATATTCAAAGCGCTACACAAACACTAAAGAACTCCTCCAGTACTCCAGACACAGAGGGAAAGCAACATTACTGGTATATAGATAGGTAAAAAGCAGACAAATGAAGCAACTTAGCCAAGGATGCACTGTGACTAGTGGCAGAGCCAGGTTTAGGACTCCCTGGATCACTAGCCAGTGGCCTGAGCCACAAACAAGGAATAAGGGGCACCTGTAAATGCAGACATCACAGGGGCCTTCTAGACATTTGGCAAACTACATGAGTGGGCTGCACTGCCACAATATGGCTAATACAGAAACCTGTTCTTTAATACCATCCTGCACAAACATGCTTAGCACTGATCTAGTGCCTGCCAGTCAAAGACTGTAAAACATTTTGCTGGCACTGATGAGCTAAGGCTCACACCAGGCTTGCTCAGTATTATTCACCTCCTTCAACAGATGGTGAAAGTGGGGCCCAGAGAGAGAAGTGTGCCAAAAATCCATCTCCCTTAAAACCATTGGGTGCCTATAGACATGCGGGGATGCTGCTCTGACATGCTGTAATTACAGTATGTTGGAGTGGACTCAATTATTCAAGCTTACTGCAGTGTGTTAATTAGCGTGCTCCAGCAGCTGCTGTGTCTCATCTTCAGTGTCCCCGCATTTCAAAATGGCAGTGGGGACACTAACTAAAGTTTGTCAAACGAGCTTTAGTTAAAGCACCCCTGCTGCCATTTTGAAGCACAGGGCACTGAATACACGAAACACTGCAGGCGCTTTGATGAGAGTGGCTCTCAGCATCACTCTAATTAAAACCACCCCCTCCCCCTGGAGCATCTGGAAAGACACCCACTGTGAGTTTGGTCTTTGGCCTCCATGCCTTCAGGTTTGTCCCAGGTCAAACTGCAGGATAGAATCCAAGTCAGAGCTAGTGCCCCAAACTGCATAATATCAGGCCTGTGTTTCCACCAATAAATTATGCTTCCCTCCCTTCACAGGCTTCCTCGCAGAAGCACAAAGTTCCCATCTTCACGCCTACTACAATACCTATACAGTGAATTTTAGTTATCTCAGGCTTGGTGTGTCTACTGCCTGTTAATGAGAACAATGATTGGACCCTCATTAGAGGCTCTGGCAATGGCATTCATGCTTTTTCCACGTCTTCCAGCAGTGTTATACCTAGTGCCAAAGTCCTACCCCTAGCTTTTCTTCAGCTTATTGAATTAGAGGAAGAGGAAGAAGCTTTTTCTACACTGAAAAAATGAGAGTCAAACTCTTACTGGTTCCTGGGTCACGATGAGAAGCTAAGAGTAGAAACAGAAATGAAAGACTCTCAACAAGGTAAATTTTGGTCTCCAGGGAAAGGTGGGAGGCAGGAGCTGTACAGGAGATTCAGGTCTGCAATGGCTGTTTGGCTTCTCATGCCCATTTACGCTGCCCCATTGGGAACAGTTTCTGTGCTTTGGAATGCAATCACACTTTGTTCTTCAAGCAAGCTGCCTTGTCTAGATACTTATCAGCACACTGTACACCCTGCTTTGGTGTGTTTTCATGTGTGAAAGTGTGAGGCATCAGGAGGGACTGAAATGTATAAGCTGCACCTGAGAACCAAAGTATTTCATTATGAATTACAATGGGAATCATAGGCAAAGGGACAGAAACAACCAAGTTCAACCCCAAGGCCCTTCCCATCTCTCCTTGGACTGGCTCCAGCCTCACACTTTTCAAATGTTCTGGACATATTTCATGCCGGTCTTCATCTGTATTTCCTTATCTCCGTCACTGCCCTGGGACATTCTCTCAGTGGGTCACCAATAGGGGTTTACTCTCAGTCATATATTGGCTGTCATTAAAATAATTTAATCTAAGGGCCTTCAGGTAAATTATCGATAATACGCAGCCACCTTGAAAAATAATATGCATGACTTTAGAGTGAGGGTTATTAACCGTTTGAGCATCCTCACATGGCTTGTGGTCGAATCTTTAAAGCAGCCTGGGTGCATTTTTCTAAAAGTTCTGCTCTAGTGCACCTGAAAGTCATTGGGCCTAGTGCAAAAAAAAAAAAAAAAAAGGAGTCACTGGGAAAAATCACAGGCAAGAGTTAGAATTACCTTT